TATGTTAAAAAACTAAATTTAGCAACTAAAAAGGTTGGGAAACTGTTTTGTTGTTGTTGTTGTTGGGGAAGACAGTTTACTTGACTTCCTTAACTTGCAAGCCTGGGGGAAGGGATTGCTTGATTTTCTCGGCCTTCTCTTTGTCTTGGACGACCAAGGTGTACAAGAAACGGGAGCAACGAATCTTGAATTTGGTGTTGCTGGGGTTCTTCTTTATCTTGACGGCACGAGCATCGGCACGACGGGCCTTGTTCAAGAAATCTTTAACTTCTTTGATTTCACGGGGCATCTGGAAAAAATCGAACGAAAATTAACAAAACATTCATGACTGCATTCGTTATACGACTTTTCACTTACATTGTCTTAATTTGTAGAGAATTTTTTTGTAAAAATTAATTTACAATACGAGAAAAACCAACCAATGTTGACGTTTTCCACGTTTCGAAAGAAAGAGAAAAGGAAAGGTGATTTTCAATATGGCCGCTATTGCAACATCCGGCTGTCAATATAAATACAACTCTATACATGTCAAAATCTTATAAAAGAGTGGAGAAATATACATAAAAACACCAGCGCCCTCTGGTAATGAGTAGTTTTTGGTGAGATTTTTATAAAAATATCCAAAACTTTATTTAAAAAATCTTTAAATTATAAACAATAATACGGCCAAAGAAATCGGTACTACTTTCTATTATAAACTTGACTCTTTTCACATTTGTTTGCTCAGCTGCTAGGGTAAAATTTTGCACAGCATTAATATCCTCGGCATAAAAAGGTTCTTCATGTACTGAGCTATCCGGTTTATGAATTTGAATTTTAGCTTCTTTGGCAGCAAAACCACCTTGAAATTGAAAACTAAATGATTTCACCGTCTGAGGTTCTTCAAATTCTATAGCTATCCATTGAGGTATACCCTGTAATGCGAAAGCGAATATGTTTATAATAGTCAAGTTGTATATTTTGTTTCTTCTTTATAATACCTCATTGGAACTCCAGGCAGTATCATCTTGTTGGTCGTACAAAAATTGCTTACCATGTTGTTTGGTATCTTTGTTTAGCACCGAACTAACACTGAAATGTTAAGAAATTATTGCATTTTTTCATCTTATTATTGGAATTTAATTAATAAATACCTGCATTTAAATTTTTCATTGTTTAATAAATCCATTATGATGATTCTGATATTTGTTTATGTTTTACAGCTGTGTTATTAATAATTTCTCCATGTTGCCATAATGACAGTTGGAGACTTTTTCGAGAAAAGAGCTGCCACTCTTAATTGATGGGGGTGCCAGATAGTTTATATCTTTGATAAGGAAATTAAAAACAAATAGATTTGCAAATATTTACAAATTATATTGAAATCATTAATTTTCTTGAACTATTTTAAAAGAAATTGTTTAAAACTCATTTATTAATATAGGTATGTTTTGAAATATTGACCGATTAACATAATTTTATATAATTTTGTATAAAAAATACGAAAGTTAATATTTAATACATACTTATAACGGTTGCCAACCTTGGTTAACACATTACAATAATATTGTTTTATGAAGAAGAAATGAAGAAATTGTTTATTCAAGCTTGGTTTGTTATTTATTTTACAAATCATGGATTAATAATAGTGGATCGATTTTTTAATTTTTTACTGCAAACTTTGTTGTTTTTTTATTTTGCATTCGAAACCAATTGGCATCTCCGTCATCAATATTATTACTAATATTTTTTTGTATTTGTATTTTAAACACAAATTATTTCGATAAGATAAAAAAAGGTGGAAAATGCTAACAATTTAATAAGTACATAAATATTTTTCTTCATTGTTGTGTTGGGATCGATAAATAAGCTGTTTTTGTTAGTATAATAATTATAGTTGTGGACACAAACAATTAAAAGTGATTGACGTTTGTAATAAAGAGGAAATAGAGAAAACGAAGCCAAAATGGACAAGGAATACCAATTGCATATAAGTATTACCAAAGCTTTAAGTCCCTCAGAAGCTCCACTAAAAGTAAAACATGCCCGCTCTGTAATCATAGCGACACATCGTTCCAAAAGTGCCAAGCCCTTTTGGGCGGTGATCACACGCCAACCGATCATGGAACATAGATTTACGGCTTGGAAATTTTGTAATTTACTACATAAGGTATTGCGCGAAGGACATGAAAGTGCCGTTAAACAATCACAGACCCATAAGACTTTGATCTTGGAGGTGGGCAAGTTGTGGGGTCACTTGCAGGATGGTGTGGGTAAGTGCATTGAGGTGTACACGAGATTGTTGGTTAATAAACTAGAATTTCATCAGAAAAATGCCAATATTCCGGGTTCGCTGGCATTGGATTTTGGTGAATTTTCTCGTGCCGTAGGCGACGATTTAAATCTGTATTTTGAGTTGTGTGTGGAAGTTTTTGATTATCTGGAGCATATATTGCAAGTGCAGGCACAAATTTTCTTAGCCATTAACACCTATCGCTTGTCATCGATGACTCCTCAGGGTCAGTGCCGTCTGGCTCCTTTGATAACTCTCATACAGGATTCAAATCCTTTGTATGATATATGTGTTCGTATAATGTTTCGTCTGCATGATGGTTTGCCTCATGATGTCCTAATGGGTCATCGTAATCGCTTTAATGATATTTTCAAGAAACTAAAGGCCTTTTATGAAAGTGTTCGTCCTTTACAATATTTCTCGGATGTTATACAACTGCCACATTTGCCGGAGAATGCGCCTAATTTCTCCTCAGAACTTGATTTGGGCAACTATAGAGCACCGGTAATGGTTTTACAACAGGAGCCAGAACCCGAACCAGAGCCCACTATAGAAAGTTTAGTGGATTTAGCCCATGCAGGGGACAATAATGCCCAAACAGAAAATGCTTTAGATGAGAAAGAACTTATAATCCGACAGCTAACCGAAGAGTTAACCGAAAAACAAATGGCCCTGGAGCATTACTCCAATTTGGCCCAACAAATAAATAACTATCAATTTAAAAATGAAGCTTTACAACGTGAACTAAACACCACCAAGGAAATGTTGCAAAGTACTTTACACTCCAAGGATAATTTAGAGCAAAAATTGAGCGAAATATCGGAAAACATGGAACAGAAATTAAGCAAAATGTCCGAACTACAAGAAGAAGTCAAGCTGAGTGAGGAGAAAGTCAAACAAGTTGATGAAAAATTTGATAAAATCAAAACCATGTATACAAAGTTGCGTGAGGAACATATTGGTTTGCTGCGCCTGCGCAATGAAGATTCTAAACATTTAAGCACAGAGAAAAAAGAAATCGAAAAACTAAAAGAGGAATTGCAAAATTTAAATGAGAAATTATTGAACTATGAAAAAACTGAGGAACTTAATACAAGCCTTAAAACAAAATCCTTAGAATATGAGGAATTATTGGCCAGCAAGGAGGATTGTATGGAAAAACTTAAACAGGAAGTGCAGGAAATACAGCAACAGCTGGAAAGCTGTCAAACCGATTATAAGCAGTTACAACAACAGTTTGAGCAGCAGCAGGCAAAACTACAAGAAGATAACCAACATTTGGCTAATGAAAAACAAGATAATGAACAATTAAAACTTGAGATACAAGGACTTAAGGGGAAACTGGAACATCAGGTATCAAAAACCGATGAAATTGATACGTCTCTAAAAGCCAAAAGTCAAGAATATGAAAATCTTATAAACAGCAAGGATCTAAACATCGAACAACTGAATACCGAACTCCAGCAACATAAGGAACAAATGGAAAAGGCTCAAGTGGAACATGCAGCATTAATAAAACAATTTGAAGAACAACTACAAACACATCAGACCGCAAGTGAACTTTTTAAAGAAAATGCTGCAAAAGAGAAACAAACTAAACAACAGCAAATAGAAGATCTATTAACAAAACAAACGCATAATGAAACTTCTATAAAAGAACTAGAATTACAACTAAACAGTATTAATACAGAAAAACAAAACTTGGAACTTAAATTGAAAGCTGAACAAGAACAAGTTGTAGAATTGAAAAAATCACAAATTGAAGCCCAAGCAGCCACAGACAACTTAATGAGATCCCTTATAGAAACCCTTAAACTTTCGCTACAGACAGACTTTACATATAAAGTATTCGAAGCCGAGGTAGTGTTGCAACAGGCTGAACTAAGTATTGATTCCATTAAGGAACACTTACAAAATATTGTACAGGCTTATAAATTAAGTTGTGAAAATAAGACCCATTTAACTGGAGACTTTGTTAAATCCAGTTTAGAATTGCTGTCCACTTTAAGAACTCTGCATGAGTACATTATCCTGGTGGCAGAAAATACTACCGATATGGAAAATTCACAAAATATACGTTCCCTTGCAAATGAAACACGTGATTGTTTTATTACTCTCTTCCAAATGTTAATGGATAAAAAAGATGCCCAAGTATTAGAAACCCAACAACAACAACAGGAAATTGTTGGCAAATTAACTGAACTAAAGAAATTATTATTAATGATGCGTAATACTTTTACGGAAAATCTAAATATTGGCGATTTGTTGCAACAAGAGTTAAGGGACATGGATAAAATGATAGAAGAAGCTGCTCAGAAAATGCTAGAAATCCAACAAAACTCGAAATCCAAAAATGAAGGCATTAAATTGGAAGTTAATGAGAAAATTCTTGAATCTTGCACCAATCTAATGCAGTGTATTATACACCTTATAAAAAGGTCACGTGATCTGCAAAATGAAATAGTTGTACGTGGTAAAGGCAAGTCCACCGAAAAGGAATTCTACAAACGTAATAGCCAATGGACTGAGGGTCTTATTTCCGCCTCTAAAAGTGTGGCCAAGGGAGCCAATTATTTGGTGGATGCCGCTAATAAAGCCATTGTTCTCGAATCTAATGAATGTTTTGAAATCATTGTAGCTGCCCAGGAAATTGCAGCCAGTACTGCCCAGCTGGTTATAGCCAGCAAGGTAAAAGCCAGTAAAGATAGCCAAAAACTTTTGGATCTAACAAAAGCTTCACGTGATGTCTCACTAGCCACTGGCTCCGTTGTGGCCACCGTCAAAGATGGTTGCAATAAGTTAGAATATAAAAACGAAATCGACATGACAAAACTTACAACTTCCCAAAAGAAAGCCATGGAAATGGAAATGCATATTAAAGTTTTACAACTAGAGCAAGCACTCGACAATGAACGCCAAAATCTTATGTCATTCCGCAAGAAATTTTACCAAAGCTCCGAAGATGATTAAAATTTAAAAAAATGTTTTTATTATATTTTTTTATATATATTTAAATATTTAAACAAGTAGTTATTTTTTGGTTTAACCAAATAGTTTGTATATATATTAAACGTTAGATTTTAATTGATAATAACTACTTTATTAACTTATACACCAATTCATACATACCTATGCTGCATAACAGTAATAATTTTGTAACAAATAATATAACTAATTTTGTGTCTTGTTATTTTGTAATATTCGTTAAACATTTAATTCTGGCGAATTTGCCAAATGTTATTAACATTTTAAAAAAGTACATATAAACAACATATATATTTTTTAACATTTTTTTTTTTTAATATTTCCATATAATTGTTTTTGTTTTTTTATATATTTATGTATATTTTTTCATGTTTTGTAAAAACAAATTCCAGTTATTTCATTTTTTATACATTATATACATTTTTTAAACTAATAAACTGATTGTTGGTTAATAAATAAATAAACAAATAAATAACTAAAGGTTGTGTGTTATTAAATTAATTTGTTCTAATAATTTTTGGTAAAAGTATGACTCCTTATTTCTAAAGGCAGTGAGAATTTGAAATGAAGACTATTAAAACTAGTTGTAATAGTTTCACTTTTCCGCGAATATGATGAATTCAGATGTAGTCAGATTAAGATTAGTTCTACTTTAGTTCCAGTTCAGTACTAGTTCAGATCTACTTCAGTTCTAGTTTAGTTTTAGTTTATACATATGTATGTATCTTATTCAGTTCTAGTTCAGTTTTCGTTTAATTCTAGCTTACTTTCGACTAGATTTGTGTACTCGGTTTTAAAAATTATGCGAAGTCGTTTTTAAACGAGAAAATTTACTCGGATTCGGTTTACAGAACAGACAGGACTATATAATATTATTTAGTCCAAATTGGCTTTTTTATTACTGAATAAATAAAAAAATATGTTTGTTTTTACGTTATTGATCATTTTCTTAATGCAACATTTTTTAGAAACTGATTTTCTGCAATAGGTTTTATATGGGGGATAGGGTCAAATATAGGCCGATCTTCGTAAAAGTTGGAGAAAGGATTTGTTTTTAATTTTTAAGAATTTTTTATCCATCTCTGCATAATTTCTCGCACAACTTTTGTGCTTGATTTGTTTTGTTGTTATAATTTGTAACTTATTTATTGAAATAATAATATAATTAATTAATAATTTAATTTATAACTTATAAACAATATATTTGCTTCCAAAATCCTACTTTCTGATCTCTCGATTTCCGTTTTTATTTAAAATCTTTGAAAATTTAAAAACTAAACGTAGCCGGTTTACAAACGATTTTAGGCCGCCGCCGACATTTTATTGTCAGCCGCTACCGCCGTCAATATTTAACGGCGCAGGGCTCTGGACGAGAGTACAAAAAAATAGATTTTTCGCGTGCAAACAACTTGAGAAAAGACATACATTTTTTTAAACGCTTTTTATTGATTCCCTTCCTCTAGTATTTAAAAGAAATAAATAAAATGAACAAAGAACAAGATTATGCCTCCGATACAGATGAAAGTGATGAAGATTTCCGACCAGACAATGCAGCCGGCGAATCGCCAGTCAGCGAAGACGAGGAAGAAGATTGTGAGTCCAATGAAGAGTTAGCTAATGGAACACAACACAAGGATAAACCGGAAAAAAGAAAAAGGCAAATCAAAAAATTAACTAAAAAGAAAAAATCTAAAGTGGAGCAAGAAGACGAGTCAGAAGATGATGAAGATGAAGCCATACATACTACTTCAAGGAGAGCAACAAGACAGACAAATGATGCTGATACAAATGGCAAAGGAAGTACTCTGGAAAAAGATGAATTAGTATCAGATGAAGAAGATAAATCACGTACAAATGCTCTGTGGGCAGATTTTCTGAAAGATGTTAATCCTACTGCGACATCCGCAAAAGCTAATCCTTCCAAAGCCCAAGAAGATAAACCAAGTTCCTCTAGTAGTAAGGACCAAGAAACGAGTAAAAAGAACAATATTTCCACTGATAACCAAACAACTAGCAGTTTATCGCCATCACCAAAAGTGGAAGAAACTAAAATAGTAGTTACTGAAGTGGTAGATTTTGCTGGTGAAGAAGTACGTATACAACGGGAAGTAGATGCTTCTAGTATTAAGGAAAATAAAGCTGCCACAATACCACCAGCTAAAAAGCAACCCTTTAGTCGTATTATGCCAGGTGCGGGTCTTAAAAGAACTATACCCACGGCCGCAACAGGTTCTGCAGGTGGTGGACTGGGTTCAATACTAAATCAACTAGGGAAAAAGAAGAAATTGTCTGTTCTCGAAAAATCCCAAATGGATTGGAAGAGTTTTAAGCAAACAGAGGGAATAGATGAACAATTGCAAACATTTAACAAAGGCAAGGATGGGTAAGTTAAGACTACACTCTTAAGGTTTAAAACTAAATATCTAAAAATATCCATTTCTTTTTCAGCTATTTGGAACGTCAGGACTTTTTACAACGCACCGATATACGACAATTTGAAATTGAAAAGAATTTACGACAAAGTACCAGACGTCCTCATTAATTTTGTCCAGAATTATATTTTAAGTTTATATTACTATTTGAAATTACTTATACTATTAGACTCTAAATTACCAACTATTTACAATCATTTAATAATACAATCTTACAAATATGTACTTGTTTATATTGTATATCATTTGAAATATATTCCATTTTCTTTTTAAGTTTAATATTTTATCAGCCGGAAATAAAAATCTTTTAGCGAACATTTTTTAAGGTACATTTAGATTATTGGAAATTTCTCTCTATTATGCAAAAAATCCTATATGATCTTACTAGACTTGTAAGAGCAAAGTACTGTACGCAAAATAAAATATAATTATTATTTATATTGTGAATTTTTTATTTTTAAATAATCAGGATGTATGTTCATTATGTATGTATTTGGATATTGTGTCTGTATTATTGATGCTAAAAATATAAATGTTGTCAATAAAGAAAGTATATAAGAGAACAATGCAAATGTGAGGCGTTATTCATTGTAAATAAAATAGGTAGATATGTAGATAGATAGATAGATAGATAGATATAGATAGATAGATAGATAGATAGATAGATAGATAGATAGATAGATAGATAGATAGATAGATAGATAGATAGATAGATAGATAGATAGATAGATAGATAGATAGATATAGATAGATAGATAGATAGATAGATAGATAGATAGATAGATAGATAGATAGATAGATAGATAGATAGATAGATAGATAGATAGATAGATAGATAGATAGATAGATAGATAGATAGATAGATAGAAGATAGATAGATAGATAGATAGATAGATAGATAGATAGATAGATAGATAGATAGATAGATAGATAGATAGATAGATAGATAGATAGATAGATAGATAGATAGATAGATAGATAGATGATAGATAGATAGATAGATAGATAGATAGATAGATAGATAGATAGATAGATAGATAGATAGATAGATAGATAGATAGATAGATAGATAGATAGATAGATAGATAGATAGATAGATAGATAGATAGATAGATAGATAGATAGATAGATAGATAGATAGATAGATAGATAGATAGATAGATAGATAGATAGATAGATAGATAGATAGATAGATAGATAGATAGATAGATAGATAGATAGATAGATAGATAGATAGATAGATAGATAGATAGATAGATAGATAGATAGATAGATAGATAGATAGATAGATAGATAGATAGATAGATAGATAGATAGATAGATAGATAGATAGATAGATAGATAGAGTAGAGATAGATAGATAGATAGATAGATAGATAGATAGATAGATAGATAGATAGATAGATAGATAGATAGATAGATAGATAGATAGATAGATAGATAGATAGATAGATAGATAGATAGATAGATAGATAGATAGATAGATAGATAGATAGATAGATAGATAGATGGATAGATAGATAGATATATAGATAAGATAGATAGATAGATAGATAGATAGATAGATAGATAGATAGATAGATAGATAGATAGATAGATAGATAGATAGATAGATAGATAGATAGAAGATAGATAGATAGATAGATAGATAGATAGAGATAGATAGATAGATAGATAGATAGATAGATAGAGATAGATAGATAGATAGATAGATAGATAGATAGATAGATAGATAGATAGATAGATAGATAGATAGATGGATAGAGAGATAGATAGATAGATAGATAGATAGATAGATAGATATAGATAGATAGATAGATAGATAGATAGATAGATAGATAGATAGATAGATAGATAGATAGATAGATAGATAGATAGATAGATAGATATATAGATAGATAGATAGATATATAGATAGACTATAGACTTTTCTATAGTCTTGAGCTGTAGACTTGATCTATAGTCTCAACTAAAGACTGATCTACAGACTCATACTAGTCAAGACTATAGATCGGTCTATGGCCTTATAATAGAGTCATCTATTTATTTGACTATACACTGGCCTAAAGTCTTGACTTGGCTTATAGCCTTATATATATTCTTGGTCTACAGTCTTGAATATAGACTATATTCTTGATTTATAGTATATAGACTGATCCGCAGTTATTGCTTTAGATCTGTAGTCTTAAGTTAAAAAATATGGTCTTGGTATATAAGGTTGACTATAGTCTAGACCATAGGCTGATTTATGGTCTTGTTGATAGACTGATCTGTAGCAATGAATACAGACAGATCAATAGTCTTGACTTTAGACTGATCAATATTCTTTACTATAGGCTGGTCTGTAGTTTTTACTATAGGCTAGTCTTTAGTCGGTCTACAATGTGGACCATATTTAGTCTAGATTGACTATTGATTTGACTATAGTCTTTCCTGTGAACTGTACTATAGTCATACCTATAGACTGTTCTATAGTCATAACTATAGACTGGACTCTTCAACAGACTTGATTATAGAGCATACTTTAGTTTTTACTATAGAATGGGCCATATATTATAGTCTTGACTCCAGATTTATCTATAGCCTTGTTTATAGATTTATCTATAGTCTTTCCTGTAGACTGGATTATAGTTTATCCTAAACACTGGACTATAGACTGGTCTATAGTCTTGACTATTGAATATTACTATAGACTAGACTTTGCTATAGTCCTGTAGTCAAGACTATAGTAAAGTCTAATCTAGTATTGTTTATAGGCAGGATTACATTAGAATTATAGTCATGAATTTTGTAAAAAAAAGTTATACGGTAAAATTGTTATTGCTTATTTTATAAAACAAGACCTTAAGGGGTTAAAAACAACATTTCACTTGAGGCCGGAACAAAAACAAAAGCAGCACGTGTATAAACCAGTAAGAGAAACTTATCTATGAAAAACGTTAAACATTACATTTTTGCTCATTTACATGATATTTAAAAGGGGTTTTTTTATTATGCTTCTCTCCACAAATCTTCAGCATAAAATTAAAAAGACTTTAAGACAAGCTTAAAAAAAACTATGAGCAGGAATTAAAACTACAAATGCAAAAAGAGAGAGGAAGAGAGACATAGATTTAATATTTAAGTTACTAACTAAAAAAACTACTTTGGCAGTATTGAAACAAGCTTAGAGCCAAACTAACTAAAGCGGCAACGAGGAAACGGTGTTGAAAACTATACAAAGAAAAAAACAACTCAAAATTCAATTGTGGCCAAAAAAAAAAAGATCGTATTGTTTTGAGGGAAAACAGCAGCAAATAAACAAAACTTTAGTTACTTATAACGGACGACAGCGTCAGAGACAGTTGCAAAACGTCTTGGCTTAGAGAAACTACAAAAAAGCGGCAAAACGAAATTTTATTTTAAAATTAAATGAAAAATTTTAAAGTGTAACAAAAAATAAATTAAAAAGGTGAAATATTTTTTTTAACAAAAAAAAAAAAATTATTTGAAAATTAAAAAATTTTAAAAAATGTAATTAATTTGAAAAATTAAGAGGAATTTTAATTAATTTTTATTTGCAATATTAAAAAAAGTGTTTAATTTTTTTGTAACAATTTCCAATAAAATATAATTAGTGTTTTAATTTTTAAGTTGCTGGTTTGGTTGTTTTATAAAAATTTTTAGTTTTTCTGCTGGTGAAAGTTTGATAACTTAGTTTAAAAGAGGGTTTTAAAAAGTATTAAATACCAAAAAAATAACAACAAAAATATTAAAGAGAAAAATTAAAGAAAATTTATACACACCAATAATTTAGTTAGTTTGCTCGCCTGTCGCTGTCGTTGTAAATGTATATAAAACATTAATTAATTTTTTTTTTGTAACTTTTTGGCTTAAGCCAAAAATAACCAAATTTAATATAAAGTGTAACTTACTATATAAATATTTGATATTTTTTTTTCAAAAAGTAACTGCCGTTATTAATAAATTTTATTAAAGCGCTCGCGTGTGTTTGTGTTAATTTGTGACGCAGTGTATTTGTTGTTATTATTGCTGTTAAAAAGGTGTTGTTTGCAGATGTTGTGTGCTGCAATCACAACCAACAACTTTTTTTGTAGTGGCAGCAGCAGCAGCAGTAGCAATAATAATAATAATAACAACAACAACAGCAACAACAACTAGAGGTTTTTCGTCGCAATCGTTGCGCTCGTTGCTTTTTAAGTCGTTATTAATGTTATTTTAGCCATTTTTATCCCAAAAAAACCAAAAATAAAAAATATTTTTTATTGGTTACACATTATTACTATATATTCATTAAATGCACAGTGGAAACGTTTGAAAAATATGCATACACACATACATAGATATTTTGATTTGCTAAGTTTCATTTTTAGTCTTGACTAGAGAGTGATCCTTATATAGTATTGACCATAAACTGATCTAAAGACTGATCTATAGACTGATCTTGACTATAGACTGATCTATAGTCTTGACTATAGACTGATCTATAGTCTTGACTATAAACTGATCTATAGTCTTGACTATAAACTGATCTTTAGTCTTGACTATAGACTGATCTTTAGTCTTGACTATAGACTGATCTTTAGTCTTGACTATAGACTGATCTGTAATCTTGACTATAGACTGATCTATAGTCTTGACTATAGACTAATCTATAGTCTTGACTATAGACTGATGTATAGTGTTGACTATAAACTGATCTTTAGTCTTGACTATAGACTGATCTGTAATCTTGACTATAGACTGATCTATAGTCTTGACTATTGACTAATCTGTAGTCTTGACTATAGACTGATGTATAGTCTTGACTATAAACTGGTTTATAGTCTTAACTATAGACTGATCTTCAGTCTTGACTATAGACTGATCTACAGTATTGACTAAAGACTGATCTTTAGTCTTGAATATAGACTAATCTATACTCTTGACTATGGACTGATCTATAGTCTTGACTATGGACTGATCTATAGTCTTGTCTATAGACTAATCTATACTCTTGCTGTGGACTGATCTATAGTCTTGACTATGGTCTAATCTATTGTCTTGACTATAGACTGATGTATAGTCTTGACTATGGATGGACTGATCTATAGTCTTGACTATGGACTAATCTATAGTATTAACTATAAACTGTTCTTTAGTCTTGACTATAGACTGATTTATAGTCTTGAATATAGACTGATTTATAGTCTTGACTATAGACTGATCTATAGTATTGACTAAAAACTGATCTTTAGTCTTGACTATAGACTGATTTATAGTCTTGACTATAGACTGATCTATAGTATTGACTAAAGACTGATCTTTAGTCCTGACTATAGACTAATATATAGCCTTGACTATAGACTAATATGTAGCCTTGACTATGGACTGATATATAGTATTGACTAAAGACCGATCTATAGTCTTGACTATAGACTAAAATATAGCCTGATCTA